GAAGCATTGAGCTGAATATGTTCCAGCTCAATGTAAGAGCCTAAAGAGTCTCGTTAGATGGTGAAGCTCGTAAAAAGAAATACCCATCCTCCAGTTTAAGTATGCAGATGCTAAAATGCTGCCGAACATGCATACATCATGACCGATTCTCAAGTCACGTCTGTGTGATTTGTCCTGGAGAGTTTTCAGCTGCAGAGTTGAAAGAGTGGTGTTACTAGGTGGATTCTAGCAGCAAGAGTAAAAAGAGTTGTCCTAGTGCAGGGTGTGACCACATAAACCCTGACAGAGACGCATCAGAGCGAGACACAGTCTGATTGACCCATTAGGCCACAGCAAGGACCTGCCAGCAGGGAACTGAAGAAGAAGAAGAAGAAAATGGCACATGGGGGGATAAAACACAGAAACTATTTCTCTACATTTGAAACAAGTAAAACTAATTTTATTAAACTCTGTCTTCAGTTTTGTAAAATTACATGCGTGTAATGTGTAGACATGGACTTAAGTCATTTGAATAAAATTTCCTCTCCTCCTTTAATTTACATGATTATAACCGCAGACACGTGATTTAATAGGACATGTAGGGCAGATCGTGTACGTCAGTGTGGCACATTAGGATAATTGATCCGTACATAAAATGGCAGACACCACACACCAACCCCACGCCGGGGGGGGTTCCTTCTTCTCTGACTTAACAGCAGCAAGTTCAACAAAAGGTTATTAATCTTCCAAGTGTGCTGATTACTCCTCTGTGCCTTGATCTCAAATTGACTAAGAATATCAGCGAACATGTACTTAGGCTAAATCATATTACGTCTGACTGTCACGCTTGAACATATAGATTCAGTAATAGCTCCCCCTTGTAATCTAGAGAGCAACACACACACACCCCACAAAACACACACAAAGGAGTTATGAGGATAGAGGGAAAGAAGCAATAATGGGAGGCCTAATAGCAACAGCTCTGCCACATCTGGCTTACCGGGGGCTACTGAGGTGAATAATTTAGTGTTGTGAAGAAGCAGAGACATGGCCTTGAATGCAGAAGCAGAAGAATGATGCGGATCCACTCAGAAAACATTTGTTTCTTTCTTACCTGGATCTGCGCTCATTCCCACCATGACCAAGGTTTTCTGTTTGCACTGTAACGCCGATACTGTGCATATTTTCTCCATCTTGTTGTTTTACTATATCCCAATTTAAAAACTTAATATTTGTTTACACATTTTTCTGTGTTTCACTGTGCAATCCTGTGTTGAAAAGGAGGGATTGAACCGTTTCAACACTTCTGACCAGTGGTGGGAGCGTAAATAAGGGATTTAAAGAGGTGTAGTGGTGTGTATATGCTGGAATATGGAGGTTACACACCTCCGGGCAGGGGCAAGTAGCCACACCTATGTACCAGTGTTAGGTGCACACAGACACTTCGGTTCCCTGACTGGTCCCTTTAAGAAAGCACATCCTCCCAGGCAACATAAAGGTCGCCGTAAAACCTCACCAAGAGAAGCGCTGCAGGGTGTGTAGGAACTTCAGACTGCAACATAAAATGTACTCAGTTACAAGTAAAATGCATTGAAAAAGTCACTTACAGGAGTATTCCACTGATTTAGCTTTGTGCTCCTATAACTCTGTCTGACTCGTGATGTACGGCTTAAAAACAAAGCACCTAAATCGATGCAGCAGAACCAGAGACGTCGTCTTTTTTTATTCCACACATTATTCTTCCTTGTCAAAACCCGCTACCTGCATTACCCACGATGCAACTCACCGGCCAGAAGCCGGGTGGGAGATCGGGGTGTGTGTTATGGTGCGTTCGAGTTGTACCGGGAAGTCGGAATTTCAACTCGAACGCTCCCTTAAGTCGGATTTCCGACTCGGAAAGTCGGGAGAACCGCACTACCCCCGACCTCGTGATCCAAGATGGCTGCTCGGTATATCAACAGTTAGTGAAAGCTGTAGTTTATAAATTACAATTATAACAATTCTCTGTATTTCTGTCTCGTAGAAATTGTCTTTGTTGACCAAGTTTACTGTCTGTAGACATGTTGCTACTGTCTTTAGTATACATAAATACCGTGTAATGCGTTCTTATCCACCAGAGTTGACACAACACTGGCTAAGCTGGCTAATTGTAGACAATGACTGGCTGAGCGAGGTTTTCCAGTCTGTGGAAACTGGAAATGCTGTCAACTCGAGCCTGACATCACTCCCAGCTCTGACTTTCGAGGTAAATGGAACGCGCCATTTTGCTATTAGCGGCTAATATAGCCTGAAACCTGCAGCAGAGATGAGCAGCAGCTGCAGAGGTCGTCTTCTTTCTAACTTCTTCAGCCGACGCTGACTCAAGTGACATCACTTGAGGACATTTATCAGACTTCACACAGCTCCCTCTGACACACTAAAGCCTTTCTACTACTCTAAAACATATGCAGGAGAACTCCTTAACACCTGCAAACACACTGATGTGGGGAATAACCAACGTGCGCATCATCACCAAAATGTGCGTTAAGTATTAAAAGTAAAAGTACTCATAATGGGAGTATAGTATATAGTACCTATATAATATTATTTGCTTATTATTACTGGAAGTTTACAGTTAGCTGGTTGCGGTAGAGCTTTAATTATTTACTTCTGCGTAGCTCAATCTATAAAAAAAAAAAAAAAAAGGAGGGTTTGGGGGTTTTGGCAAATCCTCAATATTCACAGCCACCAAGAAACCAGTGGCACTGGTTTGAAGTCATATCTTGGTGACTGTTAGGACGGGGAATTAACCAGCCAAAAAACCAAGATGGCGACGGCCAAAATGCCAAACTCAAGGCTCGCGGTTACGTCCAGTTCTCATAATCCATCCATGCCCTGAACAAGAGAAGTGGTTTAGAGGTCAGATAGATGGACAATGATTAAAGCAAATAATGTAAATAAGTCTAAAATCAGTTAATTCCTTCTTTCACCTTCTCCCTGTTGTGAACACATTCCTTCAGTGTGGTCCGTTTGGCTCCATTGTGCCGGATCAAACTGCCTAATAAATTAGTAAACCTCTCACACTATCAGATAATCTTCTGACTATCTGTCCTGAACAAGCCTCCAATTAAGAATCCCCCCCTCAGATTGTGAGGCTGGGCCAATCTGGTGTAAACTGGCTTGATAATCCTCCAGTGTGCCTGAGCCCTGCTCTGATAAACACACATTACAGGGAACCACACCGGCCAGAATTTCAGTGGGATTTATTAAAATAGCTGGATGCAAATTCTGTAAATCTCGCTCAAGAGAGATTAGGTGGGACGGATGTTTGCTCTGTTCCCATTTAAAGGTGCAGATATCAGTCCACACGATCTGAAAAGCATTAGAGTCCCTGTATTGACAGGGGGACCTGCATGTTTTTGTCACTGGATCAGTCTGCTAATTCTGCTTCCTCCTGGAACCTGGAAACTCAGAGGTCTGCCATCATTAGGATGTTCTGATCCCGTAGCCATTGGTTGCAATTTGCAACACTCGCCACTAGATGCCACTAAAACTTAAACTCAGGGGTCGGCAAACAAGTCTGGCATTGGGCCAAATTTTTGTCAAGCTGTTACATTGCGGGCCAGAGCATAGTGAAATTACTTCAAATCCCTGGATAGGCTATTCGTGCGCACGTTTAGCTCAGTCGGTAGTCTGCAGGATTCCCATTGGGAGGGATGTATGATCGATCCCAACATCCTGCAGGGTTTTTTCCCCTCCCTTGTTAAAACAACTGTTTGGGACACTTCTGCACGTGCTCACGATAAAGCATGTGCAGAAGTGCATGTGCGTCCCAACATCTGACCCGCATTCATAAACCTGAGGAAATTCAGGGGAATCCAATCACAGTTTACTTTTTCAGAGGTGTGTCAAGCTGGCCAGAGACTCCTTTGAATATCCTTCAGAACTTTTCAAAGTAAAAGCTCTCAATAGACTCAACATAAAGCATTGCTGCAAAAAAAAAACATTCTCACACTTTTATTTTGGAGGTACAATCACTTAAGAGGAAGTGATTATGTGAGCAACTCTAGCTGTCATGACTGAGATCTATTTCAGCACCAGCCGGTATTTATTTTTTATATTTCTGCTATCAAAGCAATCTGGCCCACGGGACAGATATAATTGCTGGCGGGCCGGTTCTGGCCCACGGGCCGCCTATTGCCGACCACTTTAAATGGATACATCCCAATTCCCAAGTTCATTATTTCTGCTGTGAGGAGTGACCAGCCTTCACTGAAGACACGCCCCCTTATTGGAAATCGGACGCTGCAGCTGATCGGACCGATCTGATACTACTCCACAACTACAACACTGCAGTCAGTTTGACATCAGGTGTCATATTTCTCCCAATTTTTTACATTATATTTGTTTTCTGATTCACCAGCTGCTTGAAAATAGTGGCTCTGTGTTAGCTGAAGATTTTTCTCTTATTGTTGCGTTGGGGGGGATGACCTCCATTTTTGCCGTTACGGGCTTTCCCCATAGACTGTGTTGTGGATGCGATAGAGCAGCATGTCGTTAGTCAACGGCGATAGACAACGTTTTGGTCCCGTTTGATTTGTGCCCTGACTTACACACATGATGTTTGTCAGTTTAAAAGATAAGTTTGCAAGTCAAAAAAGTCGCAGTTTGTCCCACTTCTTAGTGACTGAAGCTAACGTTACTGAAGCTAACGTCACACAGCTTCCACGTGTAGGTGATGTGATGAAAGGACCAGAAGTCGTTGGATTAAACATACGACAACATGAAATCCATCTGTGCGTGGAACAAAGCTAAGCTACCCAGCTAGTAGCAAGCAAGCAATGAACGTTAGCTTAGCATTACAGCGCTAACATGTTGGTGACATATATTGTTCATTGAGCGGTTTCACACAAAACTAATTGTTACTTTAAGGTCCAAATAAACCTTCTCATCATTTCCACCATAAACTCTGGTTTAGTCTGTAGAGAAACGGCAGATTCACCTGTTTTGTCCAAAACAGCAGCTGTGTCATATAAACTCACATTGAGCAGCAGCGTCTCCGTCCACTGTCCGATCACACGGTAGCCCGGCCCGGTGGCGTTGTTCCACTGGTACTGAAACAGATCGTAGCGCCCAGGGGCGTCGCCATTACGGTTGAATGTCACTGAGGTACCAGCACTTCCTGTGGAGGCAATGAGTCAATCAGTCAGTCAGTTAATCAATCAAGCTCCACTTTAAAGGTCACCACGGAAATCTGTTCAATGGTAAATTGACTGCAAGTTAAAGAATATTAATTGAAGCAGTGATTTGACGTTTGTCGCTTGTTGTAGCTCTGACTTTTATTTCTTTAATCGAAGAACCAGATATTTTCTGATACAGCTCTTCGTCTTGACTGAGTGGCTGCGGAGTTTCTCGTTACTCCGGCTTTGAGTCACGTAACATAAAAGAAATGATCTGGACTTCACAACTTTATGAATGAAGTGAAAACAACGACCGAATGCAGCCAGTTTAGTCTGAATAACAGCTTTATGTTGTCTCTCTCAGGATGGCTCGTCTCTCTGACCTCCCTGTCCTCTCTGCACCCGCCGGGCGCTCTCTCTCTCTTTTATTATTCCTCTATTCCCCTATGGTCTCCCCCCCCCATCAAAGACTCTGTTTATTTAGGTTGGCTCTTCTTGCTTTGGTGTGGGCCAGGAGTCTCTTTCAAGTCAGCGTTTCATTTAGAGGGGAAAGAAGAGAGAGAGCAGAGGACGGGCGACAGATAGTGTTGAGCTTCCTCGGTTCAATAAGAAATAAAAAGAGGAGGGAAGATATCCTCAGGCCAGAAATAACTGTTTTGGCAGGAAACCCTGCAGGTTACTGCAGCTTCTTTATTAATATTTACTTAGTAACTCTGAGGTTTGAAGCCTCTGTTGAATATTTTGTCATGTTTGGTGGGATTACTGTGTCATGCTAACGGTCTTAGCATTCTCAGCTGAAGGATCTGCATTAATGTATTGATGATTAATGAATTCTCTTTGCGGGTTTAACCCCAGTCTGAAAAAGCGCCATGACAGAATAATACACTTGTTATTTATGAATTGTGCAGCAATAACGCAAAGTTTAACTGCATTACTGTTTCCAGAAAACCATGTAAATAAGCCGTGATGTGCTGCATGTGTCCACCCACTGCTGCTGCTGCACGAGCTCTTTGATTCTCCAGTTGCTGCCATTAAACCATCGCAGAAGACGACGACATGAAACAAGATGACGACAATACAAGAGCTGCATCAGAGCTCACACGATGGATGACATCAAATGTTTCTGTCTGCATGTTTATATCGTGATGACGTTGAAAATCCAGTTTATCTTTCAGCGCTATTCTGACCCCTCACTGAAAGACCGCTCAGTATAATGTGGTCCAGTACAACCGCACCTTTAACTATGAACATGTAATTCTTCTTTTGTTGCAACAGCAGCCGATGAAATGAGTATTTTATATTTTCTCAAAAAGGAATTATAAATTATTTTTTCTTTAAAACTGTAGCTTAGTTGATTTTTCCCATCACTCTAGAATCCATAAAAATGTATTTGAGCTGCATAAAAATTAGATTTTGACTTAAACCAGGGCTTTCTTTATCTGAGAGCTAAAAATCAAAGTGGCTGAGAGCTGCTCATGTCCTACTTACACTTATTCATATTGATGCCAATAGGCGCTTTGACTGAGCTGAGGCATGCTGGTTAGTAGGGGTGTGACGACCCACGAGATCGAGACGAGATTGATATTTTAACACTATTTTAAGAAATCTTAAATCTGAATTAAATGAGAACTTTATTTCCTGCATTCTGATCATTTTTTTTATTTATATAAAGAGAAACAGGTGGCAGGTGACAATTCAAAATCTAAATATATCAGAATCTAAGTCAGTGCTGCTCTCAGATCTGTTTCTCCTGTAGATCAACATTTCTCGTATCATCCCTGCTGAGTCATGATTCAGTCTTCCCTCCTCTTTGTGTCTTTGTTTGGGGAAGTAACTTCTTTAAATGTGACTGTGGTTCCTTTTCACCTCAATGATTAATTGTAAAATTTAAATTCAGTTATAAACTGGACTTTAATAGCTCCTGCGTTTCAGCAGCTTTTCTGCTCATGTTCAAAACTTCATGCCAGACTTAGCCCAAAGACTATTTTACATCTGTATCATCACAGTAGCCTACAAGGTAACAACACTAAACATTGAAATTGGATACGATACAACACAATTTAAGAGACGCCACAATTTTCAACAACATATTATAAAAGACACATTTAAGGTGCTGTTTATGCAGTAAAGTGCCATTCTATAAAATAATGTTCAATTTAATTATGTTAAAGAGCTGTTTAGCGCAGTAAAGTGCTAGATCTGGTATGGTAAACTCACACATACATCAACAATACAACAGCAAACAAACCCTTACACATACAATACAACAAAGTCCGTTAGTGGTCATAAAATTTGATGTGTCATTGTTTGAGTTGGTTCTTAAAACTCGGGTTAAGTCGGACATTCCCTCACGGCAGCCGGTAACTTGTTCCAGATCTCTGACCCCTTAACTGAAAATACAAATTGTCCAAATGTTGTACTTCTGTAAGGCACCATGCAATCAGCTCTCATGGAGGCCCTGGTTACAGTTCTGCCACCTCCCGTTGTTTTCAATTTAATGTACTCCGTGGGGGGTGGGGCAAGTCCATGTAGGATCCTATATATATATATATCATAGCGACTTTCCCAAATTGGTTCTCTTATGGAAATTAAACTTCCCAGGACTCTTGGCAGAGGATATCTGGTCAGATTCTAACAAATTCCTCGTTCCAAATGAAATAAAAGAAGTCCATATGAAAATTTTGCATAGATACTGTCCCTTTAATAAATTGTTAAACAAATTTAAAACAGATTTTTCTCCTTTATGTACTTTCCGTGAACTACAAGCTGAATCTATCAGTCATCTTTTCTTTAAAGAGGTGCTTTTTGGCCTTTTCCCTGTCCTTTATTTATTATTATTATTTTTGTGCTGTAACAGGTTTGCAAAGTGAAAAGGCCTAAAGTCCAGTCCAAAGGGAGTTCGCCTCTCCCACAGAAAACTCTGCTCTGAACTGAAAACAGCTCGTTTGTAGTCCGGCCTTTACATAACGCTCGCCGAGCGGCTACTCCGACACGCCCTCAGAAACAGCGAGCTGCAGCACACAGCTCTCCTCTCCCTTCCAAACACTAGCTACCCTCCAGGCAGTCAGTGGACATAAAGTTGTTCCTGTGATGTAGAGACAGAGCTCAGTTAAAACTTTATGGATACAGATTAATAACTCACCGCTCTGAAACTCTCGCTCCAGTCCGTGTTGCCGACCGGCTCGGCAACACGGACTGTGCGGCTGGCTGAACCCGAGCTGTTTACCTTCTCGCTGACCCGCCCTTCTCTGCTTCTGATTGGCTAGTAGTCCTTAACTAGGAACTGAGCATGTGCAACTCCCAACAAAGATCATTTAGAGACAAGATGTGTCTTTGTTGTTTATTTATTTCTTTATTTTGTTCATGTTAGTCACTGCTTGTTAATCTGTTTGTGATTAATAAAGTAAAAAGAGGGAAAGTCATCTAGAACGCACCTAATATTCACTCAAAGTGAGAGCGCCACCTACTGGCAACAAGAAGTGACTGTTGAAATCTGATGCGTTCAGCTCGCTTCGTGTACGGCAGCGTTTATTCATCAAGGCTGATGAACACATTTCTTTTTTCTAACTTCTGGTGTTTCCACTCAGCTCTTTTGTGCATCCTCTCATTTCTAGCCGGTGACCATCAACTGAAATAACAGAGAGCTACTTAAACTAACATTCGCTTGATGAGCTGCTTGAAAATCTTCCAAGTTTCAAGTTTTGATTTGTTTTAAACCAAAAACATGAACACAGGCCTCTCAGGTCACAGCTGCCTGTTCAGCCAGATAAATGTTGAACATGGGTTTGATATTAACGGTAGCTGAGCAGTAAGCTGTTGGGCGGGTGAGTTTATCTGAGCTGGTGCATTGTGGGAAGCAGTACATGCTCTCATTGCGTAGGCACAATCACTATAAACATATTTGTTCCTCTATCAGTTAAATTAAGCTGCTTTTATAAAAAAAGATTATCCACCAATATGCCTCATTCTTTCTAAACAAAGGTTTGCGGCATATTCCCGCAACCATGCGTGCTTTTACACAGCGGTATGGCTTTCCGGAAGCGGCGGCGTAGAAAAACGTGGTTACGCGTAACAACACCGTCACACCGTTCTGTCGCTGTTACTGCAGTGTTTCCCGTACGTTCATTTATTTGTGGCGGCCCGCCACAATATCAACTCTGACCGCCACAGATAGAATTTCTTTTTTTTTTTTTTTTACTAGTCCTATTTAAAACCGTATTTGATTACAGAGCGCCGTATCGCCGAATCTTCTTGTGTGTTCAGGCATGTGACGTGTGTTTGTACATTATAAAGATGTTGATTTTTGTTTAGCTGTGGTTTTTTTGTTGGTTTTGTGTTTTTTGTGTCTGTTTTCAAGCAGCACTTTCTGTTTTCTTCCTCCGGGAGACAATAAACTCAGCCTTGACCGTGAACCTTGCGGCGACCTAAATCAGCATGTGGACTCAAAATGCATCTCGCACGATTTAAAAAAGCCCACAATTCACACAGTTTGCAGCTGCACAGGCGTGTAGTCATTTTCCAACCTGATCATTTGTTCCTCCTCATTGCTTTAAAGAGATGTCAGCTTTTATGAAGTGCTTCTCCTACAGGTGAAGCAGCAGAGCAGCAAGCAGGTGATAAAGGAACTCCGCACGTCTAATATTCAAATCCTCAAATCTGATCTCACTTATCCAAGACGGGAGACTGAAAGCAATTATCTTCCAAGAAGGGGGGAGCACTTATCTGGGATCACAGGGTTTGCAGCGGGGTGGTGCGTGCCGGCTCTCCCGTTCCATCTGAATCCAACAGGTGTTTTCAGATGGCACAGTAACAGCTGACGAGGATGCTGCTGCTGGAGGGGAAGATGAGGGGTTGTATGTGTGAGTGCTTTTTAGAGCAGCAGAGTGAAGAAATACCGTAAAGTTAAGGTGAAGAGGACGGCAGTAATGGAACGTGTGTGGACGCCGCACATGCCAGCGTGGACGGTTAGGGAAGAAAAAGCTTCTTTCATAAAGCTTTTACGCCTTCTGTTGGCTCGCTGTGCTGCCCAGATCGTTTCAGCAAACCTTCTGAAAGAGTGACTTTGTAGTCTGAAGAGAAAATCTTCAAGTGATGTTGCTTCTTTTTATTTTATGTCAGAGATGAATCGCAAATATCTTTAAAAAAAAAAAAAGGAGCAAGGACAGAAGGAACAGGGAAGGAAAAATAAACACAATAAATGGGAGAATTTCCAGGTTAAAAGTATCATGAATATTTAAAGTTTTAACACATTTAATAAAGAATCAAGTTAACCATCCTCCATAGCTTATATCTTTGTGCACAGTCTGTTTAATTTAAGAAAGATTAATAGATTTTATCAACACTCTGAGTTCCTGTGTCAAACACTGGCAGCTGCCATCACCAAGAAATAGATTCTCAATTATCTCCAAGACGTTTTAAAGCTGACGACAGTCTATCTGCTGCCTGTTTGGTGTCGAGTAGCTCGATTAGTCATTCCTGCTGTAACCAGACAACTGCTTCAGATCAATATTCGGGTTAATAGCTACCACAGGCAACACAGAACAACCTCTCGACAGATAATGTATTTTGTTTCTCTGTCGATATTTGGCTCATGTACGTTTCAGTAGCGATGCTGGGAATAAAAAAAAAATGGAAAGTAACCTTCTCTGCTAGAAAAATGGAGAGCTCTGTGCGTTATATGAATCCATTTTTTTCTTTATTTTGAAGAACGTCTAAATTTATTGTGATCTGACTAAAAGACAGTGTGATCTCAAAAATATAATCTTGGTCTCAAGAAAGTCATGAAACATTCAGGAGGTGGAGGCTCCGCCAGCTCTGCAGGAACGCTTTTTTTTTTTTCCTGGGAGGGTCGGGGGTGAATATTAAGTCTGTAATAAACGGTGAGTGAGCAGTTCAACCGCCACTTTCGTTTTTAATTAGCAAACTGCAGGCTTTGCTAATTACCTGATAAAAGAATCTCTCTGGAGGGGAAGATTTCCGAGGCTCTGTCTCAGGCGTTAAAACGATAAAACTATGCAAACACTAGGATGAAAAATACAAGTTCAACTGCTAATAGCTCTGAGCAAAGGTGGAAAGAGTACTTAAATATCGTACTTAAGTAAAAAGTACTGTTCCACTGATGAACTTTTACTTAAGTAAAATAAAAATCTACTCGAGTAAAAGTAAAAAGTAGCTCATTTAAAATTTACTCAGAGTAATAAAATAACTTATTTCTGTCGACCTGAGAGGAGTTCTGATCAGCTAATTATCTCAAAACACCTGCAAAGGTTTCCTGAGCCTTTAATCTCTCCGTCTGGTTCTGGTGCTCACAATATCAACTTTTTTAGATGCACATGTACACACACACAGTACATGTGCATGTGCATATTTATATCTGTGTTAGTATTTTATCACGCTTTCTCCTGGTTTCACTGCCTGATATAAACTTCATTATTTAGTTTACTGAAAACACACACACACCTCAGCCCCTCCAGGCTGCCAGAGTAAAGACAATAACATCATGCTGCAAAATGCCGCTATAATAACGCAGCACTTCATTTGCATGTTGGCCGGAGAATCAAATATCTTCGAAGGCCAACTGCTCGCTCATAAAAGGAGCTCCGTCTTCCATTATTGGACATTTAAAAAGAGGAGCAGGGTGATAAACACTGGAAAGTCAGAAATCTTCCCGCCTGGCAGAGTCAGCCACTACCTTAATGACTGACTTCATTTTGTGCGATGGGGCAGTAAGAGTCTTAATTATTGGCCCTTTAAGAGCGAGGCCGTACATCAGCTCACTTTACAACACCTGCTCATTAACACACACATGGCTAATCAAACCTTGTTGTTCTGCTTTTTACCCAGAGAGTAAAATAATAATATAACCTCTTTAAGCAAATGAATGGATAAAGAGACCACTGCAAAACTATTTACTATTCATGTGTTTTATGTTATCACCCACTGACAACTAACCCTAACCCAAATAAATTAAACACGATGCTAATTTTCCAGAGCCGTTTGAGGGCAGTGTGTTGCAGCATCTCACATGATCTCAATTAGCTCACTTCCACTTAGACCTGTTGCTTCAAGCATAACGGTGACCTAAATTCAGTTTGTACTTTCTTCCTTTGATCAAACACTAACCAGCGGCACACTTCGCCTCCAGATACTGAATTTAACTATATTTCCTCTTGTTGTTTCAAGTGTCTTGTATTCAGATAATCCCCAGATGAGACTTGAGAAAAGAAAAGACAGCCTTTATCGATCCCCAAGAGGAGCAATTCAGTCACATTTCTGCGTCACATTTGTTTCTGGCCTCAGGGTCGGTCCTACTGCTGATGCACCTGAAGCTGTTTGGCAACTGACAAAAACACCAGAAGAAGATGAGCTTCTGCACTTTAGCAGTTCAGCTAAAACCGCAAGCTAACAGCTAACCATAAGCAAACAAGCCAACACGTGGATGAATCATATATATGAAGTACGAGCGAGAGAAACGTTAAGATCATCTTCACGGCTCTAACTCACGATGCTCCGTCTCACCCACACAGATCCTTCAGTTTAACACGGTGGCTCCACTTTGATCTCAAGAAGCTGCAGAGCTGCAGTCTCTATTCATTCAATTCACATACATTTCCAGCTAAAATGAGGCTTTTTGAAGAGCTCTCTCTCTCTCTATTTAATTCAATTCAAATTAGCTTTATTGGCATGAATGTGTAATAATATTGCCAAAGCATCATACAAACTACATCAGAACAATCAACCCCATACATTTCATTAAACAGGTAATTAAAGCATCAAGTAATTAAAGCGTATGTGTGTTTGTGTTAAAGAAATTTAAATATATTAAAAATATAATAAATAAATGAAACAGTAAGCGTGTGTGTGTGTTAAAAAAATATATTAAACATTAAAATAAAATAAATAAATAATACCGTAAACGTGTATATTAATAGACAAAAATTAATTGATTAAAAAAAATAAAAATAAAAAATAAATCAGTATTAAATGTAAAAACAAAACATTTACTAAAATATCAAACAATCAAAATAATAATAATTAGAAAATTTGTACTATCATTTATCAGTTTACAATTATTTCACATTTGGGCATTTCTCCCAGTAAATAGGGGAGTTTCTGTGAGTCTGATATGAATTCGAATTCGGGGTATTTGGGAAATGTTTGGGAAGTGTTTTTGTCTTAGTGTTTTATATTTGGGGCATGAGGTTAGAGACAGAGCTACACTTTCTACCTGTCCCCTGAGTCTCTACCTGTCCTCTGTCACACTGGGAGCAGAGTCTCTCCTCTTGTGGTAGCCAGCTCTGTTTTCTACGGCCAGGCTGTGTTCACTCAGTCTGTATGTTGTCAACATTTTTCTTAGTTTAGGACATTTTATTGTACGTTTTGGTCGTTTCTTTGCAGTATTCACTATATTTTTCTTTCTGCTTGCTGATAATTTGGTTTGGTCTGCTTGAGTTGGATTTGCTGTCCTGAGGCTGTTACTGCAGAGAGCCTCAGGACCAGCTGGCTGAGGGGACTCTTCTCTGGTCTCTCTCTCTCTCCTGCCATTCACCGTTTTGTGCAGAGTTTTGCGTGCACGCCTTGGTCCCTCGCGGGTCTATTTCAAGTAGCCGGCTATTTAAAAACGATAAAATATTCTTTGTGTGGTTCGGTGATAAATTATCCGAAAGCATCGAATCTTCGACTATTCGGGGTCAGCCCTATAAAGGTGCTGTGAAAAATTTGGGTGCACCTAAATATCACATACCGCAGGAGAAATACTCAAGTACTAGAATCAAAATACACTTAAAGCAGTGAAAGTACCTATTGGATTAGAAACACTGATGGATTCATGTCAGTTTCAAGCTGCAGCTGGTGAAGGTGATGCTCTACTAGACTATATAGTGCCTCAATCTATAACAATACATCCTGATTTATTTATTTATTATATTTAGTTTGGATAATCTGAAGTCTAAAGCTTTCAAAAAGTACTTTTAAAGTGTTAAAGTAAAAGTATTATTCCTAATAATTTTTTTCCTCTGCTGATTATTTTCTCCATTGATCGATCGATTGTTTGGTTTGTAAAGATTCTGCCGTCACAGCTACCCAGAAGCCCAAAGTGACGCCTTCACAACGTTTTCTTTGGTCCGATCAACAGTCCAAACCTCAACAATATTAACTAACATTCAAATCATAACAAAAAAAAATCATTTGTGAAGCTGAAACTGTGAAATGTTTTTGCATGAAAATTGACGTATACGATCATAATTTATTTTCTGTCAAACGACTAATCATTTCAGCTTTACTTGTGTGAACCATCGGGGAGTTTAATTTATAACAAAACATCACATTTTATAAACTCTTCATATGTTTTGTGTGTAAAACTCTTACTTTTTAAAGTAACTGAAGCTGGCAGATAAATGTAGTGAAGTAAAAAGTACAATTTCTCCTTCTGAGGTGTGGTGGAGAGTGTGGCATGAAAAGAAAATACTAAAGTAAAGTACGTCTGGACTTAAAAACAGGACGCTTTAATCTGTTTCTCTTCAAACCACGCAGATTTTTCAGTGCTACGTAACACATGAGCAGCGTTTTGAGATCAAACAGCAACTGATGCCATTTATGGCAGTGTTTCTCCTTCACTCTGTGTGAGGACTGAAAATAGAGCCTTGATCTGTCGGGTCTGCTCACTGCCAGCGCTTCGGTCTACATGAAGGTGTTTTGGTGCAATTACGTAAAAAGGAGAGTGGATTTAAAAGAGCTCTAAAACAACTCCAAACAAGGTGCGATGGGCGATAAAAATCCTCAAGACCCTGACACCATTTTATGAGACAATTTTTATGATCGGTGTTGGTTGGCTGCTCTTGGTGCCGTTGTCTCGCGTCTCTTGGCACATGCAGTAAAGCAGACTTTATGGGCCGCAGAAGGACAGAACCATCCGTCCACTCACCGTTGAAGCTGACGCTGCGGATGTACTTGAGCAGTTTCTTCCCTCCCGCCAGGTCCATCTCCGGGCAGATGCCGGAGCTCTCGGGGCACAGGTCCCTCTGCATGTTGTGGAGGGCGTGGGCCATGGCGTACACCGCATCGATCACAAACTGGACCTTACCCTCCTGCTCATACTTGGAATCAATCCCGATACGCTCCTGACCTGAGAGAGACAGACAGAGAAAAGTGACAGTGACGGGATATTTCCAGGAACACTCACCGATACAGTCTTTTTTTTTTTTACTGTGAGTGGTGACGTCAGTGTGTCGGTCCACAAGTACGGTACCATTCCAGTTTGGACAGACATCCACGTTCCCCTCAGGATAAACAGACATCACTTTCACTTGATGATGGTGCTACAGGAAAATTTGAAGGATCACCAAAGTCTTAATTTGTCCAATACTTCTAATTCCCATCAGCCTCAGCTGTACTTTCAGCCAATTCTACGCTACATCAACTCACATGCACAGCAGGGGGGACACAGTCCACTACCCATTTTCAGGGTTACTAAACAATAGACATGGTGGCGTTTCTTTGCATGTAAATGGTGCGCACACAGACTCACAGCATTAGCATCAATTAGCTACAGCTGATAACATCTATCAGCTGAAAACGAGAAGGCTGTTGCCCGTTGTCATGCATACTGACTCGACTTGGATCTCACACAAACCAGATTCTCAAGCTGAGAGAGCGTTTCTGTTCAGAAGTTTAGAGGTGAAAACAACTCACAGACGTGTGAAACGTGACAAAGGGACCCAACGAAACGCTTCTTTTGTGTAACAGGTCACAAGACAAAAAGGTTTTAAATGTAAAATCTTTGTCAGATAAAAAAAAGTGAAGGAGAAGTAGAACGTAATGGAAAAGCTCCAGTAAAGACTCTTAGTCTAGGTGGGCGCTCCTCTCCTGGTTGGTGGCGAAGCCTGAGGGAGTGAAACCTGAGCCTGTCTCAGCAGAAAAGACAAGCGTGTCCAAAGTTATTTGCTCCCAAAACAGCAGCCGTTTGCATTCATTTAGAGCAGGATAACGGGATTACGACGACGGCGGCGGTGTCCGCCTGCCAATAAAAAGGGAGGATATTGGCCTTTTTATGAACTGCCGGATGGCGGCTGGACATGTGGTCCTCGCTGATATGATGGAAGGGCCTCTTTGACAGACACTCACTGATATGTCATTAAAAAATATTGTTTAAATGAAATAAACTGAGGTGAAGTGACGGCTTCTTCAAGCTCTCGTGTGCAGGAGTTCCCTGTGAAAAGGTTAGAAATGTGTTGGCTGGTATTGACTGTTTTGAATATTTCTTACTGGAGTTAGTCCAGGAAAAATAATTCAGTGTTGGGGCTGTGGAATTTTAAATTGCATAACCCTACTAACACTTCTTCTGCTGTTTCAAACATAATCCACAAACATTAAAATATAGTACAGGTAGAGCCCACGCGCAGCGAGAGGAGCAGGCAGATGAACCGTTAACTGTAGATTTTCAATCCGCCATCTTGGCAGCGCCTGTGTTGTGACACTGAGGTCATATTTTTCATTTTGCCATGCAGTGACGGTTCTGTTCTCCTCCCTCAGTGTGTGCTTCCTTCATGCATGTAATGGAAAACAGGTAGGCCATCAGAAGTTGATTGCTGCCTGGATGACAGCCTCCATTTTAAACCCCAGTTGACGACCATCTCTCTCTTCACTCTGTTTCCACCAACCATCTCCAGGAGGCGTGCGTTGTCGTACGAGAACCTTTCTTAGGATGGAAACCAACGGCGTAGCTTTGTGTTGAAAAGTGGTGTTTACACGGGGGGCTCAGATTCGGGGTGTGGAGAGACACTTGGCTCGCGAGACATCACGACAGGTGATATTAGGTTCACAAGAATGAGATGAAAACATCCTTAAACAGTGTTTGAACGATATCCTCAATACAGGTGTGGGGTCTTGATCTTTAAACACTTCATTTCCTCATTCTGGTGAACCGATTTATGGTGGAAAAGTTTTTATTTATGTAAAACAAAACACAAAATTCAAGTGGCAGGTGACATTTCAAAAAACATAAATATAACAAGAGTCTAAGTGAGTGCAGCTCCCCAGCCAACATGTGTATCTGGGCCCCACATGGGTGCGCTTGGGCTACATGGGCTAAAAATGGGCATATTATCTGGGAGAGAACAGAAAACTTGGCCAAAAAGAAACTGGCCAAGAGGTTGTTAAAGTTACTGATCGGTGCTGCTGCACGTGTTTGGGTCATTTTATGATCAGTAGCTTGTTTTTGTTTTTTTAACCTAAGTTACTTTTTTTCAAATAACCTTTCTAAAGGCATTTTCATTTGTTATTTAACTGAAAGCAATATTTAAGAACTTATTTTTTTAACAAATTATGCTTTAAAAAAAGTGGTAGGGACACGTCTCCAGCGTAAATGACACCTATGAGAAAAACTGCAGCTTCGAACGTTTGTAGAAATGAAGACCTTGATTCAGTGACCTTAGTAATTGTTTGTTGTAAATAGATTGATCTCAATATATTGATCACTTAGTAGCAGATGAAGTAAGACTGAGAAGCCCTTTTGATTTTTGGTACGTTTTGGGCTTTTGTCATTTCTTAACATCTTTCGGTTTGTGTTCATCTTAAGTTTTAGGTTTAAAGATCGTTGCTTGTTGTTTTGGGTACGGCTCAATCTCTGAAGATGAAAAAAAAGTGCTACTTTTTAATTAATCTGTGTTGAACTGGCCTTACTTGGGAGTGAAAAGAGCGGGGAGACGTCTCATGTTAAGTCTAGTTTGCCCTTAGACCAGGAACGTGACAGCTAACTCGGCTAATTCAAAAAATGGGCAAAGAGGTGGAGATGAGGTCGAATGAAGCCTGGTGTCTGGAACCACCTAGCAGCTATTAAAAACCATTTAAACAGGTGAGGTTTATAAAAGTTCGACCCCCGTGGTCCCACCTGGTCTCTCTCAGTCTTCACTTCCTCATTTTCATTAGTTCCAGGTTGTTTGATGGTGAAACAATGCACTTTAACACACTGTCAGCTTACCAAAACCAACTTAATAAAAGTTTCATACATTTTGTATAGTATGAGCAACGTTAACGTGCGATTCCAGTTTGTAGAGGTTTGCTATGCCGATTGGAGCGCATCAACAGGACACGGGATGAAACATCAATCAAGTTAAAGGTTCAGTGTGTAACTTTTAGTGGCATCTAGTGGTGAGGGTTGCGAACTGCAACCAGCAGCACACGGTGCATTCACGTGCTCCTCAGATGGTCCCATGTCCAGAGTTTTGGAGACGTTCTTCCGTTCTTCTACTGCTGCTACTACAACTTCTTCTATTTACGTATTCAACGTAGTGATGAACTACTCTCTGTAGAGCAGTTTGTCCCTTTGGGCTACTGTAGAAACATGGCGCCGCAACATGGTGATGTCCATGTAAGAGAAGCCGCGGTGTCTGTAGATAGAAATGTCTCATTCTAAGGTAATTAAATTAAAACATAACAGCTCATTATTGACCCTTTTCCACCGCACGGTACCAACTCGACTCGACTCAGCTCGCCTTTGTTTGGTTTTTCCATTGTAGAAAAGTTGTACCTGTACCTGCTTCCAGGTACTTTTTTTCGTATCACCTCCGTCAATGTTCCAAGTGAGCTGAGGGAAACTAAAATGTAACGTGAAAACAGGACAGACTGCTGATTGGTCAGAGAGAATCGTCACTATTCACTGCATCATCATTGCGTGCACCAGACAGAGGCCAGCAACAGAAAGTTTTACAGTTTTCGTACGTTATTTCATCACTAAATCCACAAGTTTTGAGGTGAGAAATCCGCTGTGTAGATTTCAAATATTGACAGTTTTAAGTGATGGCTGGACAAAAATGTGCTTGAAAGTTTTCGGAGTTGAGGAGCTCCGCAAGTGGCGGAGGGGGAAGCCTGCGCCAAAAGACAGCCGTTGGTCGCTGGTGTGTGTGGGTCGCATTGAACGTGACGTCGTGGCAGCTGTGTGTGGCATTGCTATGACGACCAGCTACATTGAGGGGTACTAACCGAGGCGAGGCGAGATGGAAAAGCGCCATATGTAAGGTCTTTATACACCACTGAAAACATGATTGTGGATTTATATTCCATTTCTGTCGGATGGAAGGGAACAGAAATTTTAATCATCGCAATATCACAACCACTCTGTTTCTACAACTTCACAATTGGCTTAGAATCAGACGGAAGCCGCGACAGTTTACATAATTATAAAGAAATACAAAGACGCTCTGTGATGATTAAGTTGCATAAATATATACGTGAGGACCACGAGAGGAATAGATGCAGATACATTCAGACAATCAGAAAGACGGCGGGGGGGTGGACACATCATCATTATGATGCACAATTACATAGAATTGTTCTCATGGTGTTTCATGAGACTGGTGGAAACGTTATGCAGCAAAATGCTAAATAAGTGAAGCGGTTTAAATGCCAGCAGCTGCGGGGCCTCGGTTACAGAAGATGTTTGGGTTCTAAAAAATAAATAAAAAAAAAAAAAAACAGAGGACAGAGCTTCTTCTGTGGCCTCGTTGTGCTGCAAGAAGCTTCTTCAAATTTGAATTTATTACATTACGGCATGGTTTATGGTGATTGTTTTTTTTTATACTTCTGGGGAAAAAAAAAAAGAAGAGTTTTACTGTTTATGTTCACTTCATTTTGTTATTTACTGAGAGTGAAGTGCGACTATCAGGTTTATCTCAGCGCGCACACACACACACCACATTTAAAGCTTTTCTGACTGTCTGATCAGGTGTTGACGAGTCACCTCACACACATCTGTTCTGTACATTTTGCTTTCACAAATGACGTAAAGGATCGCTGCCTGAACATGTCACGGTTATCAGATTTAATAGTTTAACAGTTTCGCTTTCAAAATCCCATTTCTGCCGCCGTAAACGTCTGCAGTTGGTCATTGGTTGGTACAAGCACCTCGAATGTGTACAGAACGTAAGCTAAATTTGGTTTTGTTTGTGGTTATTTCCTGTCACTTCACTTCCTGTCCTCAGTTAATTGTTTGCCCCTCCCTAATGTGTCTTGTTCTGGACGGCCTGCCTTACCTCAGACGTACGTCATCACCTCTTGTCAATAAACACAAACTGAATTCCGCCTCGGTGTCTGTGTTCAGGGTGCAGGCCCCGGTTTAGCTGCGTCTAC